CAGGTTCGACTGCAAGATCTGAAGAGGGCCACATGTTTGAGCCACCTAGCAGTCCAACCCGAGTTAATCCAAAGAATAAAGGAAGCCCAGTCAATCGACCCCGCCCTAGTAAACCGCAAGAAGGATGCAGAACAGGGAGTGAACTCAGAATTTCAGATTTCTGCCGACGGATTGATTCGTTTCAAGGACAGAATGTGTGTCCCAGACGACAATGAATTAAAAAGAGACATCATGACAGAGTCCCATAGTTCAAGGTTCGCCATGCATCCAGGAAGTACAAAAATGTACCAAACTATGCGACCCCGATTCTGGTGGAATGGGATGAAGAGAGATATAGCCGACTTCGTATCTAAGTGCTTGGTATGTCAGCAGGTCAAAGCAGAACATCAACGCCCAGGGGGGTTGCTTCAGCCCTTACCGATTCCAGAATGGAAGTGGGAACACATCACCATGGACTTCGTATCGGGACTACCCAAGGCACGATCGGGACACGATGTCATATGGGTAATTGTTGACCGACTCACTAAGTCTTCCCACTTCCTGGCCATCAGAATGACTGATTCGTTGGACAAATTGGCAAGGATGTATGTCCGGGAAATAGTCAGACTGCATGGGGTCCCAGTAACAGTGGTATCCGACAGGGATCCCAGATTCACTTCTCGGTTTTGGAATAGTCTCCAGCAAGCTATGGGAACAAAGCTGTCCCTTAGTACTGCCTTCCACCCCCAAACCGATGGACAATCAGAGAGGACAATCCGTACGCTGGAGGACATGCTCCGAGCTTGTGTCCTTGACTCCGGAGGCCATTGGGACGACCATCTACCCCTGATAGAGTTTGCCTACAACAACAGTTACCAAGCAAGCATCGGCATGGCCCCATACGAGGCGCTATACGGTCGTCCGTGCAGGTCACCGATTTGTTGGGAGGAAGTGGGCGATAGAAGATTGTTTGGCCCGGATTTGGTGGAAGAAACCACGTCCAAGATAGTTAAGATCAAGAAGAACATCCAGGCGGCTCAGAGTAGGCAAAAGAGCTATGCTGATACCCGGAGGAGAGACCTGGCCTTTGAGAAAGGTGACCGGGTGTTTCTTAAAGTCACCCCCTTCAAGGGAATTAGTAGGTTCGGCAGAAGGGGAAAATTAAACCCCAGGTACATTGGACCCTTTGAAATCTTAGACAAGATTGGTACCACTGCCTACAGACTTGCACTGCCCCCTAAGCTCTCCCGGGTTCACAATGTGTTTCATGTATCTATGCTGCGCAAGTACAATCCGGACCCTTCTCATGTCGTGGCTCATGAACCGCTTTCACTTCGAGAGGACTTGTCTTATGAAGAAGTACCGGTCAGTATCACGGACCGAGAAAGCAGAATACTCCGTAACCGGGAAATATCATTTGTAAAAGTCTTGTGGCAGAACCACACGCCTAGGGAGGCGACTTGGGAGCTGGAATCAGAATTTAGGGCCCAATATCCTCATCTGTTTGATCAAGAGTAATGAGGCAAATTTGGGGACCAAATTTCTTTATGGGGGGGAGAGTTGTAGCACCCGGAAAGGAGGAGGGAAAAAAAAAAAAAAAAAAAAAAAGGGGGGGCCACGTCAGCAGCCACGTCAGCAGGCCCGGTCAGCAGTCCCGGCCAACCAGGGCCTGCCACGTGGCAAGATCGCGTCACTCCGAAAGGAGCCACGTTGGCGATCCGCGTGGGTGCGATCCGACGGCCCAGATCAATCGCGCGATCGGACGGCCCAGATTCAAACGCACGGACGGCCCAGATTCAATAAAAAACGAACGGCCCAGATTAAAACGAAATGAACGGCTGTGATCAAAAGGCAAGGGGTTATAAATAGAACCCCCACACCAGACCAAAAACCCTAGCCGCCAGCCGCTCGCCGGAGAAGACGAACCAGAGGCCGACCGCCGCCACCCGCCGCCACTCGCCGCCGCACCGGGGAAATTTCCGACCGCCGATCGAGGTAAATTTCATACCCCCGACTCGTTTTTCCCCACTGATTCCTCCTATGGCCAAATCGAAGCCGAAATCCCGGCCAAACGGCCGGAATACGCGGCCGAAGCCCAGCGGCGCCGCCGCGCCCCCTCTCGGTTTTTGCCTCCGACGAGGCCCTTCCCGGCCTCCGTTCGATGCAATTTTTATATCACCGTGATCACCATTCTTTTCTCTACAGGTTGACCGAAGCCAAATCACCAAAACACGAACCTCACCGGAGAGTCGCCGTACCCGAGAGCGCCGCCGCCGGTAAGCTCCGCTTTTCCGTGATTTTTTGGCCCCCCGAGGGCCCTATGGTTGTTTTCTGACAAGGACCAATGCGAGTGTGGCCGAATTCGGCCGAAAACGGCCGAAAACAGTCAACCCGAGGCGACTCGCCGTCGCCG